TCAGTCTCATTAGAAAATCGAATCAGACATTGATTGGTGCATCAAATTCAATGTTGTTCTGAAATGTGCAATAAATTTAATGCACTTTTTAAAAGTGTTTTAAATATTTACTAATTGTTCAACCAATCATGTTTCTTAATTCAGCGTCAAAATTTTTAGTGTAGACAAGGCCTATTTCAATATCTTGGCCTTTTTATTTTCAAACACATATGTGGAAAAACTTTATTTCACATCTAGACATAATAAAAAAGTCTATAATTAAAAATAAATATAAGTGTCAGAATAAATAATAAATGAGAAATCACCACCACGATTGTTAATAAGTAAAAGCACTTAGCATACTCAAGTTTGTTGTTTTTATTTTGTTTTTGTTAATTAAAATTTAAAATGCTCGTCTCTTCTTGTATTTCTAAATATATCTAATATAAGAGACATAAACTAAAATGATAACTTAGAATTTTCAACCAACACAGAATTAAGGGTTCATTCACAATTTAGAACCCCAAGCATCTGATTGGTCAGAGAACCAGCATGAAAATGAAGGTGAAGGCGAGAAAGTTAATGAAAAAGAGATATATTGGGGTTCTAAGATGTAAAAGTATCGAATTAAGGAAAATATCAATGAAATGTTATCGATATTTACAATAGTTGCCGGCGGCGGCGGCTCGATAATTTTAAAATTTCGAATACTATCGGCGGCGCGGCGGCTGTAATTAAAGTGCCTCAGCGGCGACGGCTTAAAAATTTCTAAAATTTCTACTGTCATGGCAGCAGCGGCTTAAAATTTTTCGAGTTTATCGGCGGCGACGACGGCTCAGCCGCATGGCTTACACCTCTAATCACAACCACTATCGTCTATAAATATGAAAACATCTTGCATGCAACCGATTCACTCATTAACGGACAGATATCTATTGGCATTAGATACATTTCCGAACGATACTTATTGGTGTTTCATATTCTATATCACTCTATGTATTAGATACAATATCGGGTCAGTGGAGTCGTGGTAAGTTAGGTATGGGTGAGGGTTTGTGAGGTGTTTGCATGGGAGAAATCCAATCTACATCCACCACACCCACGCCCATACTCCATATCCCACACTCATACCTACACCCCATATTTTCAATGAAACATATAAAGCATTAAGTGTTGTATGTATTCTGATACCCTCCGATCGGGACTACAAAATTGACTGCAAAATATTGTGGTTTTGTAAGTATCTTGACAATATTATGCTTTCATGTATGTAGCGCCCTAACTAATTATAGTATGTATTTTTGTGCTAAAAAAAAACGTTTGGAAAAATGGAATTTGGGAGCATAGTCATATATAGGGTTTTGTAGAGAATCACTTGCTCTACAATATGCACTAGATACGAGTTCTTCCGTTTTTGAGTTCATAAAATAGAAAACAGAGAAAGATGAAAAGTTGCATTTTTTTCATATATAAGAGTTAATGGATAAATGCCACACTGGTGTTTACTCAATCGATGTTATCAGATTTTCTGCAAGTTGAGATATGCTGTAGAGAGAAGAGTTTTAACACTTTTAACGAAAGCCGTTTTAAAAATACTGTTCAGTTCTGGAGATATTCAAATAATATCTTTCCTTGCATATAAAAACCTCTGAGGAAAATGACGAAAATGTATAATAATGAATTTCGTTGCTGAAAGACTATGTGTGCAAACCTCTTTTGTGCATTTCAATGTTTCAAATAAGCTTATTGATAGACAAAATATGATGTTAAACAACATCAAACGGCCGAAAATATTTTCTCATTAGTTATACTGATTCATCTAGAGATACACAAGAGATAATTCCACTTAAAAACATTGATTCTGTAAAACAAAAAGAGAATATCATAAAAGATCTGCAGTTTGTAAGCTTTTAGAGCTATTCTCTGTTTCGTTTTTTTTTCCTTTAACAAAATTATACAATATTCAAAAATCTCTTTATAATTATTTTATGGGAGTTCTATAGATCTCTTCAATTTTAAACTGCTATTCCGCTTATACAACTTTCATAAATATGAGTATTATGTTTGTATTAGAAAATATAACTCATGATGCAAAAACTCATTTATAAAACGGAATATGCTTTATTACAATAAACATACATGTATTTTATTCATCTTGAACTGAGACGACTGTTTCAAGATAAATTGATAGCATGTAAATAGATTAGAATGAAAGAAGATAACAATAAATACGAACGTAATATGAGTCAAGACAAGACCATTGTTGACCATATTAAATATTGCCATACAAATGATAATATTTATCTTAATATCTAATAATGAAAAATTGTTTTTATTTCGTGTAAATATCAAAAGCTAATCAATGGCATGAAATCTTTTAAGTTCAGTAAGTGTTTTACATTCACTTATGAATTCTAGTAAGAGAGAAACGATAGATTTTAGAAACTATGTAAATTTCAAACCATTAAAATCACAAAAGTCACAGAGTCACCCCAATTCAAAGAATATGGGACAATTCAGGCAGGAAAACACTGCAAATTAATGAAACTTAAAGGTAGTATTCCGAGTCGGAAAGTCTCCGGAATATTCTGGTAACTTCTAGCAAACTTCCTACTATTTCAAGCGGAAAACGGCCGAAAACCATCTCACTCAGACATTACAAAGAATATTTTTGTTTCTGTCGAAAAATGTAAGATGTAAAATGCTTAGTTATGTTTAATAAAGGAATCATAACTTTGCATGATACCGCTGAATTTTGAACTATTTTCTTTTCAAATGATAGCTTTAATCGTTCTCTACAAAACTGTGCATTTCAATCAACTATCTACAAATATATTTTGTATAAATAAAGTCAATTTACAAAGAGAAGACGAAAGTTTTGGATCATTCTTTATGATGACAAGCTTTCTAAAAAAACCGGCCATATTAGTTTTCAGATTCCGGAAGCTACGTTTTTTAACAATGCTGTTTTAAATAGCATAAAACAAGGAGTCGCCGCATTTTCTATAACTTTCCCTTAAAAAGTTATAGAAAATGCGGCGACCCTTTTAAAACTAGCATTGTCAAAAAATAGTATCTGGACTTTGATAATTATCGAGTCCGTTTTTTTTTAGAAACCTTTCCATCATAGTTTATTTAGTATAAAATGCATTATATACAAAAATTCCATTGCCCATTAAAATCACTCTTCAGATTTAAGACTTAACATAATAGAAAAATATCAAAAACACGTCGTTGTTAAGGTTTTTTCCATCACTTTAGTATCAAGAGAATTATTCATGGGCCGACTCAATGACTGTAAAGTAACGTCATCTATATTGATGCACATCTGGAATAATAATTGTGTTGTCATTTTCTTATTCATTCCTATAGAACTAACAATGATAAAACAAATAAGAATTTTCTACAATCGATGACTAAATGCATATACTCTATATGCTTACTCATCATGACGTTTCACTTTTTTTTTTTATCGTATTTCTGTTAGTGTACGATATAGTCATTTATTTATTTGATTAATGAGTGTGACTTGTCTAGGCTACACTTTTTTGTTGTACTAAACAAAATTATCTTGTCGGAAAAAACACATATTTTATAAAACAAAGAAGTTTCTCGATTAATATTAAAAGAAAAAGAACAATATTTATTTTCTTCTGTTTCTTTTTCTTCCTAAAGCTTTGGCAGTAGCTGATAGGTTGAATATATTTATTAAAAAAACAACATGATTCACGCTCAAACTCAATCTTTTTTTGTGCACACAAACATATTCACCTTGCATCGTTTGTATGTTACTTGTGCAATCATGGTCATTCGTTCGATTATATAAATACAAGAGGTAAGCTTTATTAATATATATATGAGTATCTAAAAATTAAATTGTCTGTTTTGATAGTCAAAAAAGAATATTCTCTTTAGATGACAATAGCCAGTCGAATTGTAAATTTTGCTCTTTACTTCCTATGCTTATCTATCGAAATACATTAAATATTTTACCTGAGAAAAAAAACTCGTGTCGTTCGAGTTTTATTACAAGTAAGTTGGAAGAAATAAAAAAAAAATTTATTTAAACTTTATTTCTTTTTCATAGGATGCAGTATATTTATATATGATAATGTCGACGGAAAAAAACAAATGATAATATAAGATTTTGAATTCACAATATTTAGATGTAAAACATCGACATAACTGAAGAAAATAATGTTAATTCATTTTTTGTTCTCATAGGTCAAATTGAAGTTTTCTATTTAAAACCGTAACAACTATCGGTTCAAATTATCGTGAAGTTCAGTCTAACGAAATATCATCCGTATAAGTTGGTTAAATTGTTGCTGCATCAATGGCAAAATTATTTTTAGATGTTTCTATTAGGGGTGGGAAGTTACCGTTACCGGGTAACGGTAACTTCCCACCCCTAGTTTCTATACAAGGTAAATTTATTTTTTAGTAATTCGAAAAAACATGTTAAGAATTTTTGTTTCAGCTCATTGACTGGTTATTAATGACCAAAAATCAACAATAAATGATATCATTGCAGATTACTTTGATTCTGTAAGTTTAAAGAGTCCATCTATTCAATAATATGTATAGATGAAAGTATTGACAAAAAAAAATGGTACAATCTTCATTCATGAAAAATTAAAATTTCTAATGAATTTCTATTATTCAATCTATTAATATCATGCCTTTTTTATTCTGCATATTTCTGTGTTTTTATTTTTTTTGTGAATGCAAAAAAAATATTATTTCGAAGATTGAATAGTCTTAGGAGATCCATCATTTGTCTGATGATAACTATGATTTTGTACTCTAAATATAAAAATAATACTATAGATGGACGTAGTTTTGCGTACTATACAAAATGACGTAATAATCATATGCAGGATAAGACATGTGCGATATCGCACGTGACTGACCCTGCATAAACTAATTAATAAACATGATTATTACGTCATTCTGTAGAGCAGAAAAAACTACGTCAATCTACATTATTAGTTTTCATATTTAGAGTGTATCATCCAAAAATGGTAGGTCTCCTGAGATTATTTAGTTTTCGAAAAAAATTTGTTTTTGCATTCACAATAAATAAATAAATAGACAGAAATGTGGAGGATTTTATGTCTTATCTTTCTAAAATATTGAAAGTAAAGTGTAAGAGAAAAAAAAAACAGATTTATGCTCTAGTCCATTTCATTAAATTTCAATTTATAGAACTAAAAATTTTTTTTTTTGAAAACAACTCAAATGAAATCTCACATACTGCAATTTCCTAATTGGAAAGCGAAACTGTTTTCAATCATACTGCGTGTATATGTGAGAGACATTATTCTAAGAAAAAAAAATCCTAAAAAGATTTGAATTAATTTGACTTCTTTCGATAGATATAAATACGTCCACTTCTAGAAGTCATGGCAAATAACACGAAAAAAAAATATTTATTTTCATTGAAACTTTCAATATATTTCTAAAAAATAAAATTTCAGATCGAAATTCTTTATTTCAATTTTTTCTCGAAAAAAATCTGTCTATAAGTTTATACTCATTATATTGAGTTGTAACTTATGAAAAAATAAGAACGGTTCTTATAGAATTAATATATTTATATCTATTAAAAGAAGCTTCATCCTTTTTAGGGCTTTTTTTAGAATAAGGGCACCATATGCATGTCAAATATCATCAAAAAGGGCGTAAATCTGTTGGAGACCTTTCTGTGTAAGAGAGAGCACTTACAAGTATCTGTAGAAATTTTTCTAGTCCGATATTTAGCACAATCAAATGACAGATATCTTAAATTTTACAATGTGACACATACCGGAAAGCTTGATGACTTTCAAGATAGAAAATTCAACATAATTTGATAAAAGTCCGTTTTTTTTTAAAATTTAGAATCAACAAATCTATTATAAAGAAATAATAGGAGTATGTGTTGATTCTAAAGAACAAAAAATAAAAACATCAAGTATATTTGTTAATTTTTGTTTTTTTATTCTAATCTAATACTTTTTCTTTCTTAGGAATCTTTTACTTGTCTTGCTCTTGAAACTGATATTGCTTCGTTTTATTTTGTTTTTATTAGAAGATAATTTAATAAAAAATAATTCAACTATTTTTATTTATCTTATACAAATGATAAATTCATTATTAGAAAATACATCGTTACATTGTAAAAAGAAAAAAAGTCAAAAACGAATTTTTTTATATAAATTTTACAGTTTTCTATTTTATTAGCTTCATTAACAATTTTCAACTATTATGCCATGTATTGTACAAATATGTTTATGTACATTACATTTAACACTTGTTACTTATTATGATACACTTATAGATTTTTGTGAAAAAGAATTTATATTTCGAATAATACTAATACTTGATGATCAAATTATTAACTTACATGAAGATTCATCCAATACTAAAATTTGATAATATCAATATGTATTATTACTGTAAGTATTGATTTGAATAATTTCTTTTTTATAATATAGAAGTACGTAGGATTAGTTTCTCATATTTCTTACTCATCACTTGCTAGATTCGAATATGATAAATATGATTTTAGTAGTTTTATTAATATTGTTTATAATATCTATATAATAATATTTTACGAATAAATACATTTACATCCTACGTAAAATGAATATTCAGTCACACTTGAATGGTTATTGTATATTTATATTGAATCATCAATTACTAATTTGAATCTAAGATAAAGAGTATAAAAGGATGATAGAGAGAAACATAGTTAATCAAACAAAAATCTCATGTCTGAAAGTAAAATCGAAATGATGAATTATTCAACAAACACTGCCGAACATCTTACATCACCAATATCGATTCATGATGAAAGTATTCATTCAATAAACAATACTGAACTCTTATCTGGCATGCAATATCCATACGATGAATGTCAATCATATATTAATAATATTACACATAGTCCATTGATCAATAGGAGAGGAAGTTTTCAACATTCATCATCAACGAATGCTATGGATCTATTAGCTCATCAAACAATTTTACCAAATATACATCAATATCCAATCAATCAAGATCTAAATCCTGAACATATTCATCGTCCTACTAATGAACATATAACTTATCGACAAGATGTAGCTATACGTTATTTACAACCCCCTACTCCACCACCACCAGGTCCTGTTGTTATTCGTGAAATTCGTGCTCCTGCACCTCCCGAAGCTCCTCCGTTGGTTATACGCCAACGTCCTAATGCTCCATTAACTCCACCACCAGTGGTAATTCGTGAACATCCACCATTACCACCTCCTATTGTACCACCCCATACTGTTAATAAAGTTTTACCCCCACCTCCACCACTTCCACGAAAAGTAATTATCGAACGACAAGCACCATTACCACAAAAACCTCAATCTGTTATTATTGAAAAATGGCTTCCTTATAGACCACCTCCGGATCGACGTGTAGTCGTCGAACGAGCTCCACCAATCATGCCAAGACCAATACAAAAAAATACAATTATTACATATGATGCTCCTCATGTTGATCTTGTTAAAAATGTTCATCATCTTGGAGTTGTTCGTGCAGATCCACATCTGTATATGGTACAATATGGTTCACATCTAGCATCAAATGAATATGTTCGACATACAATGGAAAAATTTTGTCTTGGAAATAATTATATGCAAATGATTCAAATGCAAACAACACCACATTTACCATTAATGAATAGTAATCATTTACAAACAAATTATGCTCATATTAATAGACAACAATCAATGACTGTTGGAGGACAAAATACATCAAATATATATCATGTACAAGATGAAAATCTTGAAGAAACAATTTTACCTAATCAACTTCATTCAAGTCTTGATGGTTTAAATAATACAGAAATTTTACAATAAGAAAATATTTATAATTAAGACTAATTTTCTTTTTCTTTGTTTTTTTTTTTGTTTACTTATAAGAAAATAATATTTTTCTTATATATTTACACGAAATAAGTTTAAATAAGCGTTGATTTTAATTATAAAGCTTCGCTATATATTTTTTAAATAAACCAGGATATTTTCATCATAGAAAACAACGCGAATGCATAGTTCAGAAATGTGTTTTAAAATATTTTTTATTTGAAAATGTTTGTATACAAATTGTTCTCTTCTTTATTTAGAATCGTCGATTTTCTCTTTCATTTTGATTATGAAAGTTTCCGTCTGATCAAGTATTTCTATTAGATTCAGCAAAACTTACTCATACAATAAATTTTTCAATTTCAAAATAATATCATATTTTTATTAACATCAATTAAATAGTCATAAAAATATTATTTAACGATATTTTCTCTATCATCGTTATTCATTTTTACACATAGATTTTATATTTCTAGATTTTATATAAAGTTTTTCATTTCATTGAAAAAAAAAACAAACATAAATGGCTAGACCTGTTGAACCTAAAGATGATAGATTGGCAACAGCAATATTAGATCGAAAAAAACGTCCAAATCGTTTAATCATTGCTGATGCTGTCAATGATGATAATAGTGTTGTTGCATTATCACAACAAAAAATGGATGAATTACAATTATTTCGTGGTGATACTGTTTTACTTAAAGGTAAAAAACGTCGTGAAACAATATGTATTGTCCTAGCTGATGATACTTGTCCAAATGATCATATACGAATGAATCGTGTTGTACGAAATAATTTACGTGTACGATCCGGTGATATTGTTTCAATTCAAGCATGTCAAGATGTTAAATATGGTAAACGTATACATGTTTTACCTATTGATGATACAGTTCAAGGCATAACAGGAAATTTATTTGAAGTTTATTTAAAACCATATTTTGTTGAAGCATATCGACCAGTTAAAAAAGGTGATGTTTTTATTGTACGTGCAGCTATGCGTGCTGTAGAATTTAAAGTAATTGAAACTGATCCAGCACCATATTGTATTGTTGCACCAGATACAGTTATACATTGTGAAGGTGATCCAATAAAACGTGAAGAAGAAGAAGCATCTTTAAATGAAATTGGTTATGATGATATTGGCGGTTGTAGAAAACAATTAGCACAAATTAAAGAAATGGTTGAATTACCATTAAGACATCCACAATTATTTAAGACTATTGGTGTTAAACCACCACGAGGTATTCTTTTATATGGACCACCGGGTACAGGTATGATCAAACAAAAAAAAAAAAAGAAAATTTTAATGTCAATAAAATTAATTATGAATTATATAATTTAGGTAAAACTTTAATTGCACGTGCTGTAGCCAATGAAACAGGTGCATTCTTCTTTTTAATCAATGGACCGGAAATTATGTCGAAATTAGCTGGTGAATCAGAATCAAATTTACGAAAAGCTTTTGAAGAAGCTGAAAAGGTAAAAATAAAATGAGATTAACTCTTCAAAAGATAAACAAATATTGTAAAGAACCCTATTGGATAAGATGATCATTCTTCTCATCAGTATACTAATTGATCGTCCTCGAAATTGAAGTGCGTCAAAGTCAAATTAGGCAATCAATGCCTCAAAAAGTACCAATTATTTGATTCCTCAGGGGTAGAGAAGCACATGAATTCACAATAAATATATTTTGAGTAAATAAATCTTGTATCTATTAATAATAAGGTCATCGTATCCTATAGACCTTCTGAAAATGTACAAAAAAAAAATTTTCGCTTTCGGACTCTTGTAGGGAGTTACGAGGGTATACAAAATTTGACCGAATATGTATTGAAGCTAATAGAGCTCTATACTGTAATCATACTTGGCTACTCGGAATCTACATTTGTAAAGAACAAAATAATATTTCTGATAGCCCATTCTCGTATCAGTCTTTAGGGGTTTGAAACCGAAATTTCTTTCACCACTTTCGAAATATTCATATATCTCAAATGATATAACATGATAAACTTATTATTAATAGATAGAAGAAGAAAGTTATTATGAGTATTATTAGATATACACGATTGAAAACGAGACAAAATTCTATCGAAGTTATATTAAATGAAATTTGATATAGATTGGTTTAGAGTCATACAGAGTCTTCATATTTATTCATATCATTCACAATTGCTATGATATTCCTTAATTGATATATGGTGTTTCTAAGAACCTTAAACACGTTCGATGCATTATGAATTACTCTACAAAACTACATATTTCTAAATTATCATTGAAATTATTCTATTTGATTATAAAAATTTACTTTTACTTATTTAGAATTCTCCAGCTATTATTTTCATTGATGAACTTGATGCTATTGCACCAAAACGTGAAAAAACTCATGGTGAAGTTGAACGTCGTATTGTTTCACAATTATTAACATTAATGGATGGTCTTAAACAACGTTCACATGTTATTGTTATGGCAGCAACAAATCGACCAAATTCAATTGATCCAGCACTTCGTCGTTTTGGTCGTTTTGATCGTGAAGTTGATATTAGTATACCAGATGCTGTTGGTCGTTTAGAAATTCTTCGTATACATACAAAAAATATGAAATTAGGAGACGATGTTGATCTTGTACAAATTGGTAATGAAACACATGGTTATGTTGGTGCTGATTTAGCATCATTATGTTCAGAAGCAGCATTACAACAAATTCGTGAAAAAATGGATGTTATTGATTTAGAAGAAGATACAATTGATGCTGAAGTTCTTGATTCATTAGCAGTTACGCAAGATAATTTTCGTTTTGCACTTAATCAATCAAATCCATCAGCTTTACGTGAAACTGTTGTTGAAGTACCAACAACAACATGGGAAGATATTGGTGGTTTAGAAAATGTTAAACGTGAATTACAAGAACTTGTTCAATATCCAGTTGAACATCCAGAAAAATTCCTCAAATTTGGTATGACACCATCACGTGGTGTACTCTTTTATGGACCACCGGGTTGTGGTATGTTAAGATATATATACTTTTTTTTAACCTGTTTTGCTGTTAATATTGAATTTTTAGGTAAAACATTATTAGCAAAAGCTATTGCTAATGAATGTCAAGCAAACTTCATTTCAGTTAAAGGTCCTGAATTATTAACAATGTGGTTTGGTGAATCAGAAGCTAATGTACGTGATGTTTTCGATAAAGCTCGTCAAGCTGCACCATGTGTACTCTTCTTTGATGAATTAGATTCAATTGGTAAGAAAGCAAAAAAATAAAATAAAAGACACAAATAATAATCATAGAATTTATTTTTTAGCTAAATCTCGAGGTGGTAGTGTTGGTGATGGTGGTGGTGCTGCTGATCGTGTTATCAATCAGATTTTAACTGAGATGGATGGTATGGGTGCCAAAAAGAATGTTTTTATTATAGGTGCCACAAATCGACCGGATATTATTGATTCAGCCATTCTTCGACCAGGTAAGAAAATTAAAGACTTCTGCGAAATTTTTGAATTCTTTTCATTTCTAAAAAATTCTCGACAACTCTCTAAATGAACGAAATAGTTTTGTCTGAATAAATACTGAAATATCGAGATGATAGTTCGTCTTCTTATTAAATTAAACAATATTTTTTTTATATTTAGGTCGTCTTGATCAATTAATTTATATTCCACTACCTGATGATAAATCTCGTATAGCTATTCTTAAGGCTGCTTTAAGAAAGTCACCTGTATCTAGAGATGTTGATGTAGACCATTTGGCTAAGGTTACAAATGGTTTTAGTGGTGCTGATTTAACAGAAATATGCCAACGTGCATGTAAATTAGCTATACGTGAATCAATTGAAAAAGATATTATTCGAGAAAAAGAACGACAACGTACTGGACAAACAGCAATGGATGCCGATGAACCCGATCTTGTACCAGAAATTCGTCGAGATCATTTTGAAGACGCAATGAAATTTGCACGACGATCAGTTAGTGATAATGATATACGTAAATATGAAATGTTTGCTCAAACATTACAACAATCACGAGGTTTTGGTACACAATTTCGTTTTCCTGATCAAGAACGACAGTCACAAGGTGGAAGTGGTAAATAAAGAAAAAAAAAACATTATGTTAATTTTTCGTTTCTAAACTTTGCTTTGTTTTTTTTTAATAGGTGGAGGTGGTGGCCGTGGTAATGATGATGATGATTTGTACAACTAATCGCAACAATTATATTTGTCTAGAACAAAACCTTTTGTTTCCCGCCTCTTTTTTGAAATAACTCAGAAAATGATTTGTTCACATTCTAGCTTTTTTTTCAATTTAACAAAAAAAAAGAATAACTTAATTCTAGTTTACATATTTGTTTGTCATCAGTTTATGTTTTATGCATTAGCTGTTCGACAACTTTTGCCATTGACAAAATACACGACTATAACACTTCTAATTCCTTATCGGTTTTTTTTCAAAAGTATATAACATGTCAACGGATAAAATAATGAATAAATAGAGTTCAATAGACTTTTAAAAATCATAGACTAAAATATAGGATAACCAATATTAATTTGATAATGATTGTGAAGAAAAATTTAAAATTTATTGAAAATCAACAACTCCTTAAACTTCTACTTTTTCAATTAACTAAAGAAAAAACCTAAAGCGATCAAATAATTTCTTTTAGTTGTTCGTACTTTTATATCATCATCAATTTGATGCGTACAATATTCAATTATCAAAAATTTTGTACATTGTTTTGAAATACGTACATATCGACGACGTTGTTCTCTTAGAGTTTCATCGTGTTATTCATTGATTTAATATTCGGTTTTAATTGTTGACACAGTAATATGTACATGTTCAAATAAATCTGTATCATTATTATAAATTTTTCTTCTTAACTATTATCATCATCATTATTGAATGCATTACTATTTCGATTACATATTTGACATGAATAAATTTTATTATTTTGAATATCATTTTTAGAAAACGAATTAAATAGGTATTGAAAAAAA